AAATAGTTGAAGATTGTAAATCTACTAGGAGACATGATGCAATTGTCTTGTCATATATTTAAGTTACAAATAAATAAGCTGTAAAATATTCACTATTTTGTGAGGAAAAATGTATTGTGTGTTTATGTGTGTTTATGCCTAAAAATTATCTAAAACATTATGCAACAAAATCTAAGAGTAATTGGGGATAATATTCAGTTTCTTCTTTATATTTTTCTTAATTACATAATTTTAAAATGAACATATATTTTCTTTTTAATGGAATGTACTGTCTAAAACCTGTATCTTGGGAAAAATATTTAAACCTTTCTCATGATTATGCTCTGCTCTTAAAAACCTACCTATCAGAGTCTAAATGGATTTAAAGCAGATAATTAGCAGCTATTTGTACTCGTAAGAAGTATTTTATTATATATAGAGGAGAATACCACTATGCTATATATGGTGGACTTTCTGATATCTTTAAACTCTGATTAAATTATTAAACACTGATTTGTATTTTAACTCTTCAGGATCATCTCAACTGCATAAAATAAGGTGGCAATTTGATATGTCCCAATTAAGAATTTTTAAAAATTGTTAGCAGTTTCAAATAACAGGTATAATTATTTTTGCCCATTTGAATAGACAATTGAGAATTAAGAACACAAGACAATATTTTCCATGTTAAAATTTGTTCATGATGTTATTGTTGAATGTTAGCATTAAATAAAGACCTAGCATTAGTAATACAAGATATGTTGCCCCTCACCACCAGGAGTCTGTCTAAATCAGTTTTAAGGCTTTTTTTAACAGACGTTTTTTAAGACCTCACTTTGTGTTGCACGGACTGTGGGGTTCTCAGTATGGTTCAGGTCACCATCCACAATTCTGACACATATTCTTCTTGTAGGTTCTACAACAATAACCTAACTCCCCTTTCCAAAAAATTGGTGTTAAAAAGATGGAGCTCTATATCTTCCTTCCAGGCATTTTTATTTTATTTCATGCTATTAATGAAACTCTCCAATGGATAATCTTATTTACTATATATTCTGTGGTAACTTAGCAAAGAGCTGGCCATTTGTCATATCAAATATGTTCATCTTTATTCTAAATTCAAAACTTAAGAGTTTATAAGGCACCCACAGAAAATGACTTTTAAAAATATATTTATTTTGTCAATTATGTCTCAATAAAGCTAACAAAAAATGAAATCCCACATGAAAAAAAAATATATATATATATATTTAATAAACACAAAACAGTTGCTAAGTGCCAGGCACTGTTCTTAGTGCTTGACAAATAATAGCTTATTTAATGTCACAACAACCTGGGTGTGTCCTATCATCAGCCCTCATGGCCCAAGCACACATAGCCAGTAAGTGGCCAAGTTTTCAGTGAAGGTTATCTAGTTTTAGGATAAGTGGCATTAAAAAGTGCCGTGTGGCTTGCCACCAATGTCAAATCACAGAGTTCTGTGGCATAAATTACTGAAATATGACCCATATTTTCTCTGCCTGGAGATGAAGTTGCTTTTTTTTTTTTAATTTTATTTATTTGTCAGAGGGAGAGAGAGCACAAGCACGGGGAGCAGCAGGCAGAGGGAGAAGCAGGCCCCCTGCTGAGCAAGGAGCCCAATGCGGGACTCAATCCCAGGACCCTGGGATCATGGCCTGAGCCGAAAGCAGATGCTTAACTGCCTGAGCCACCCAGGCGTCCCTGGAGATGAAGTTTAAATATGGGTTAGGGATGAGCATCTTAGACTGAGTAATACTAGAACTGCTTACTGAGAGACTCATGGACCCTCTTTGTGGATCTTTACAAGGGGGAAAAAATCTCTTTGGAATGATTTTGGATCAAAAGTGTTTAGAGTAATTTGTCTTGTTAACTTAAGGTTTTATGTATCTTCCAAAGAGGACCCCTTTGCATAAAATGTGATCATCATGAAAACCCCCAACATGAAAAATTATGAGACAATGTGCCTTGAAAAGAGCTAAGCACAAGCAACAAAAGCAAAAATCAGTAAGTGGGACTACATTAAACTAAAAAGCTTCTGCACAGCAAAAGAAACAATGCACAAAATGAAAAGGTAACCTACCAAATGGGAGAAAACTTTTGCAAACCAAATATGTATCTGATAAGGGGTTAATATCTGGAATATACAAGGAACTCCTGCAACTCAATAGCAAAAACAAACAAAAAGCAAAGCAAACAAAAAAATTGAAAAATGGGCAGAATATTACTCAGCCATGAGAAAGGATGAATACCCACCATTTGCACTGACATGGATGGAACTGGAGGGGATTATGCTAAGTGAAATAAGTCAAGCAGAGAAAGACAATTATCACATGGTTTCACTCATATGTGGAACATAAGGAATAGCATGGAGGACCATAGGGGAAGGAAGGGAAAAATGAAGAGGGGAGAAATCAGAGGGGGAGACGAACCATGAGAGACTCTGGACTCCAGGGAAAAAAACTGAGGATTTCAGAGGGGAGGTGGGTGGGGGGATCGGTTAGCCCAGTGATGGGTATTAAGGAAGGCACATGTTGTGATGAGCACTGGGTGTTATAAACAACTAATGAATCATTGAACACTACATCAAACTGTTGGCTAACTGAACATAATAAAAAAACAAAAGGAAAAGAAAAAGGGCCAGAGGACCTGAATAGACGTTTTCCCAAAGAAGACATACAGAGACCAACATGGTGTCCAATATCAGTAATTATCAGGGAAATGCAAATCAAAACCACAATGAGATATCACCTCACACCTGTTAGAATGACTAGTATAACAAGATAAGATATAATAAATGCTAGTGAGGATGTGGAGAAAAGAGAACCTTCCTTGGTGCACTGTTGGTGAGAATATAGGCTGGTACAACTACTGTGGAAAATGGTATGGAGACTCCTCAAAAAATTAAAAATAGAACTACCATATGACCCAGGCAATCCCACTTCTGGGTATATATCTGAAGGAGAGAAAAATCACAATCTCAAAGAGATATCTGTACTCCCACGTTCATTACAGCATTATTTACAAGAGCCAAGGCACTGAAGCAATCTAAACGTCCAATGATAGATGAATGCATAAAGAAAATGAGATATATGTATACACACACACACGTGGCATATATATATGAATAACATATATATATGATGTGTGTGTATATTCCAAGAGAAGTCTTGGAATAACTGTGTTTTGTAAATACATAATGAAGTATTACTGAGCCATAAAAAAGAATGAAACCTCACCATTTGTAACAACATGGATGGACCTTGAGGGCACTATGCTAAGTGCAGTAAGTCAGAGAAAGGCAAATAATGTATGATCTCACATGTGGAATCAAAAACACTGAATTCAAAGAAACAGAGAGCAGAAAGGTGGTTGTCAGGGGGTGAGGGTAGGAGAAATAGGGAGATTTTGGTCAAATGATACAAACTTTCAGTTACATGGTGAATACCAGGGATCTAATGTACAGCATGGTGACCACAGTTAACAATACCATATTGTACATTTGAAAGTTGTTATGAGAGTAAAGTTTTAATCTCCTCACCATAAAAATAATAACAACAAAATCATAATTATGTAGGGTAGGGTGAAGGATGTGTTGACTAACTTTATAATGGTAAGCACTTTGCAATATACACATGCATCAAATCATCACAATGTACACTTTAAGCTTACACAATTTTATATATCACTTTTGTCTCAATAAAGCTGGGAAAAAGAAAAAGAACAAAAAAGAGCAGAATACACGAGTTTTTAATCTTGGCTCTGGTTACTGCTTTGAAAAAAATCATGTGTGCCCATGGACAAGAGAAAGAACATGAAATGTGAGAGAGTCAAAGGTCTTCATTGATGAAACCACGCTTCATTCCTCCCTCTTCTGTTTCCCCAATTATGACTATATGTTCAGTCAGTTTACATTCCTTTTAAGTTTTGAAATTATGTTTAAAATTCCATGGGGATTTGGGGAGCTTTAGCTCCTGGGGCTTGAGGCACATTCTTTTGAATGATGGGAATGATCCTAAAGTGACCCCCACAAATCCTATCTGGTAAATAATAAGAAGGGAAAAGCTGAAAAGTAATGAGACTTCTTCCCCCACGCAAATCTCCAAGAGCCTCTGACAACCCTTCCCAAGAAGCAGTGTCATCACAGAATAGCTGTGCAGCCTCCTACATACCTCCTCTGATCAATGTATTGTCTATGTCTGCAGTGCTGGTTGAAAAACCTCCATCTTGTCACTTAGTCATAGTGCCCATGTCAAGTATATTAAGAAAAAATTTCCCGTTACACAATTCTTTATCATACACACAAGAAAGGCAAATATAAAAAATGTCATGTCTCAGAGATAAATATCAACATTCTGTGGCCAGAAGGACCATAGTTGCTCAAACTTGAGCTAGAGAAAAGAAAGGGAAAAAATGAAACATGGCTGTGGATATTTTATTCCAATACTTACCTGGTTTACCAAAACAACCTTTCGCTTTCCCATACAAGTTATCGGAGCTGCAGTCTTATTCAAGGTACATGCATTCTATTGTATCAAGTGATATGTCAATAAAGTTCCAAGGAGTCCACACCCAAGGATATGTCTAATACCTGTTTGATTCAGGGCATCTCCTGGGGGTCAAGTACAGGATCCAGTCACTGATCTAGAAACCCCTATATGTTTAATTTCTTTTAAAACTTGCAGTTCCTTTAGGACCATTTTCCCCAAGATTCATCGGTGCTATCTACCCAAAATAAACATCAAGAGCTGCTATCATCTCAAATGACTGTGAGTGCTTAGATTTTGATGATGAACAGCATGAATATATCCATATTTAGGAATGCAACAAGAGTTCTTTAATGAGATCATGAGTATGTCACAAGCAATGCAATCATTAGTCAGAACAAAATTCTACTTAATTGGCCAAAAGATAAATGGTGTGGGCGGGTGGTCAGCAGCAGCTGGCCAGGGTATATAAAGGCCCCAGAGCCCGACAAAGACATTCACACCTGACAACACCCAAATCCTCTCACCAGTCCAACCCAAACCAACCCCAGACATCACCATGTCCGACTCCTGCTGCGGCTCCACCTGCTCCTCCCCGGGCTGTGGGGGGGGCTACTGCCAGCCCTGCTGCTGCCGTGACCCCTGCTGCTGCCGCCCCGTGTCCTGCCAGACCACCGTGTGCCGCCCCGTGACCTGCACCTGCCGCTGCACGCGCCCCATCTGTGAGCCCTGCCACCGCCCTGTCTGCTGTGACCCCTGCTCCCTGCAGGAGGGCTGCTGCCGCCCCATCAGCTGCTGCCCCACGTCCTGCACGGCCGTGGTCTGCCGCCCCTGCTGCTGGGCCTCCACCTGCTGCCAGCCCATCTCTGTGCAGGCGCCCTGCTGCCGCCCCCCCTGCTGCCAGCCTGCCCCCTGCCGCACCACTTGCAGGACCTCCCCCTGCTGCTGAGAAGTACACTGACTATCTAGAACAAGCAATCAACATTCTGAAAAAGTCATACTCCCACCTCTACCTAACAAACCTCCTGCCCTGAACCATCAAGACCCAAGTCAACCAGAGGATGAATGGAAATCCAGGCTAATCAATTAAGACTTGGGCTATTCTCAAGTCTTTGTAACAGTATCAACTCCCTTCTTCCCACTGTAGATCTTAGGTCTTGTGGCATGCTTGTTTTCTAATAAACTTCTCTTCTTTGGCCTAGCAAATACACATTTGGTTTTACTTATTCATTCTAATTTTTTTCATTAAATTTAAATAAAATGGATTGATTGCCTACCATCTGCAAATCACAGGCTAGATGGTTTACAATAGAAATTAAAATGGAGTTAAAAATGTTCCCCTAAGAAACTTCTAGGGAGATAAATGAAAGTCATAATAACACAACTAAAAATTAGAAAATGAAAAAAAGTACAACACATTTTGGTGTCAACAGAGAAATCACTATTGAATGGGAAGAAAGACTGAAAAGGGAGCTAGCATTTTATATGGGTTAAGATTTCAGCATGCAGATCTAAGGGAAGAGGGCATTCTCAACACTGGTAATAGTATGCACAAAGGTATAGAGAGAGGGATTGTTCAGAGGATAGTTTGGCTGGGAACCTGGACATATGTAGAATAATAATGGAAGATAAATTTGAAAAATGTGTGTGAATACTAACCAAAGGAGTATGCCCTTAATGCAATAAATACTAAGGAGCTGTTGGAAGCCTTGGGGCAAGTGAATAGAGGACAGGCATTGGGCATCAGGATGATTCTTATGGTAGCTGCTTATCAAAAAAGAAGGCCAAAGGCTAGACATAAAATAGCTATACAGAAACAAATCAAGAGGCCATTGTACTCGTCCAAGTGATACACAATAAGAACTGACCTAAGACAATAGCCATGGAATAAAGAAGACACAAAGTGTATGGCAGACATAGAAACCCAGAAGGTATGTTACCTAATATGAATGTGGGAAATAAGAAACAAGAATTAAATGTGTTATTGCAGCTCTAGAGAAAACTCTTCTGGTCAGAAGACACTTAAAAGAATCTAAACATATTCATGCTTATTTACTGTGTGTTTAAAGTTACTACTCCATAGCATTTCTGTTCACTAATATTTCTATTCTTGAGCTATTATAAAGTATTTTTTTAATAGGAAGCAAAGCGTTTTAATAATTAATTGATCCTGGAAAACAGCATGGATAAAATAAAATGAATTGATGTAGGAGGGAGAGACAGAAGTTTTATACCCAGCTCTTCTGGCTGTGTGCTGTGTGAATAAAGCAAGTCACTAACCTCTCCAAAATGCAGCCCGTCCTGGACTCAGTAGTATTCTAACATCAACTGATGTCAAGAGGAAATTAAAAGCAGTCTGTACCACAACATCAGTGTTCCAACTTAAAACTATGAGGATGGATGGTAGTATATTTGACTCTTTTCCTTGATTCATCCCTCCTATCAGTACTACAATGATTTGTATACTAGAGCAAGATATGAGACAGACTGAATCTTGCTTTCTGCCCAGCCCTTTAGTGCTCAGTGCATAATATATGATTTAGTAAACATTTACTACTTATAAAAACAATGATGTCAGTCTCTTTTTTTTTAATGATGTCAGTTTCTAGAACTATACAATCAAATGTTTGGACAAGGTGATTAATTTTTTGATCTCTGATATTTGATGATTCCTTCAACCACTTTTCAACTTCATACCTATAGTCATGGTTATCATATGACGTGAACATCTTTCTTGACAGTAGCATGAATCACATTCTAATGTAATTCTATCGCTGCACAAACCAAAACTTCATAAAAAGCTAACCATGTGCTTCTATTCAAGATTGGAAGGAAAGAATAAACCAAACACAAGTAGCAATAATATGCTCTTTTGGTTACCACTTTTTTTTTTTTCATTTCCCCCCATGTAACCCTACACATTCTTCTTTTGACAACACACATTCTTTCTTTTGACAACCACCAAAATTGTTTCAAATTTATTTTACTGAAATTTATATACAGCTTTCTGGCTGTGTACTCTGTAAATGGAGCAAATCACTTACCTCTCCAAATTATAGCCATTCCTAGATTCAACAGGATTCTAACATCGACTGATGCTGAGGGGAAATCAAAAGTGGTCCATACCACACCAATCCCTTTACACTTATACCTTAAGTATAAGGTATATTTAATCTCTTTGCTCTTATACCTATTGAATGATATTTGATCACTCATTTCCTACACTGCCTTATATACATTGTAATCCAGAAAAAGTATCTCCTAACTCCTGCTTTTTCTTTTATTGATTCCCCTTCATAAATTCAATTGTCATGCTCTTTGGTCTAATATCATTTCACAGGACACATGGTGTAGTTACATAAAATGATAAACTGAAAATAAATCCCACCTTTAAGAAATACTGTCCAGATAACTCACATAGCAGTGATTTTTATCTTTCATAGAAAAATATAAATTACACTTAAAATTTTATGTGATATTTTCCTAATTACTGGCTACAAATTTTAGTCCTTCTTTTAAATTCATGCTAATAAAATATCCACAGTAAATTGGGATGGAACAGTTTTTGTTCAACAGGTCTTCCTGAGTGATATTTTCTCAAGTCAATGTGTGAAGTTCAGGAGAGATCATGGAAATTGGAGAGATCCAATTTCTGGAAAAATCTATGAATTTCTATGAATGTGAAGTTTATCAGAGTTTCTATCTGGCTGAGTGTAATAAAAAAAAATATAAACACAGTCTTACATAAAAGACAGTCAATTGTTAATAATTTTTTTCTGGAGACTTGAGTTTGGTGAATATGACCCTAAAATCACATTATCTTATGAGTGAGAGTCACTTTGTCAGGTGATATGATCGTAAATGCAGAATGGAAGCTGAGACTTGAGGAGAAATTACAGCATTATTTGGAAATGAAATAACTATTTCTACCAAGGACAAAAACATTTAGTGAGTATTAGCTGAGCAATAAGGAAAAACCAATCTGGGGATGCATTTAAAATAACTCGATATTTGAACAATCAAAGGACTCTGGAAAAGCTTGTTTAAAGAGTAACAAGATAAAAATGCTGCCCATCACAAACACAGGAACTAGCCAAGACCTATAAAAGGCCCAAGTGGAACAAGCAGCTCTAACTCAGAAAGTCCACCAAGCAACCCAACTCTCAACCCAGCTCCTGACCATGGCCTGCTGCTCCACTAGCTTCTGTGGATTTCCCACCTGCTCCACCAGTGGGAACTGTGGCTCCAGCTGCTGCCAGCCCAGCTGCTACCAGCCCAGCTGTGGTGGGACCAGCTGCGGCATTGGTGGTGGCCAGGAGGGTGGCTACGGAGCTGTGAGCTGCCGAGTCAGGTGGTGCCGCCCTGACTGCCGCATGGAGGATACCTGCCTGCCCTCCTGCTGTGTGGTGAGCTGCACGCCCCCAACCTGCTGCCAGCTGCACCACGCCCAGGCCTCCTGCTGCCGCCCATCCTACTGCGGACAGTCCTGCTGCCGCCCAGCCTGCTGCTGCTACTGCTGCCAGCCCAGCTGTTGTGAGCCCACCTGCTGAAAGCCTTCTAAAGGAATCCTGAGAAACTGGCACGAGCCAATGTAGAGTCCCAACAAACTTCTGAGCGCTAATACCCATAATCCAGCTTGCAAACTCTTGTCACACGGCTACATAATTTTCCTAAAATGTGAACTTATAATTGAAGACCAAAAATATTTCATAAACCTGGTTATGAATAGAAGTCCTACAAGGTTAAGAGGACTATGTAAAACTTTACTATAAGTATCATCTGAAATAGTTCAACAGCTCATTGGATTTGGGATTTAATAAAATTTTTATTCTTCAGTGATGAAGTCATTGTTGGAGCTTTTATTTGGAATTTGTTATTGCTATCGGGGTACTTGGATTTTTCAAAATCTCAATAACTGTGATATGGCAGTATGGTTTTTCTTTATTTTTGTCCTTTTATAAAGGTCTTTAAAAGATGGTTTCCCTTTGTTTTACCATTAAATGGTCCAATATTCTGCAGCCAAAATCTATGATTAAAAGAATCTATCAGTATTTAGAAATTATTTCCCAAGGTCCTCACATGTGCAAACTGATGGGCTAGGTGTTCCAGAAGATCGATTTTACAAAAAAGGAATTTTTATGTCATTTAGCTTCTTGAGGTGTTACCAAATCTATTCATTTCATTCATATGGGATTCTGTGTACAATTCTTTCAATTATCGAGGGTATAAAAGAGTAATACATAGTTGGAAAGACAGTAAACACAAGATTTCAAAGTACTAGCATAAGATGTAAAGGCACCCGAGTTCTTGTTCCCACTTTGTAACTAAGAATCCATGGATTCTTGAGCAAGGCCCTTCGCCTCCCTGGGCACCAGTTTAGAAAGCCTGGAAAATAAGAGAACTGACTTTCATTGCTTACAACATCCCTCCCAGGCATAGGATGGATTATTTCCTAAACAGGTGATGCACTGACAATTAGAGTCTTAGATGCCCAACAGGGAAAAAGTATTCAATGGTCAAATAATGTTGCATGCGTTTTCACCATCTTGAAGGTTTATAAAGCACATTAGAAGGATTGCTTAGCCCGGTGATGGGTATTAAGGAGGGCACATACTGCATGGAGCACTGGGTGTTATACGAAAACAATGGAATGTGGATCACCACATCAAAAACTAATGATGTATTGTATGGTGACTAAAATAACATAATAAAATTTAAAAAAATTAAAAAATTAAAAACAAAGCACATTAGAATATTAAAGAAAGCTCTATAACTATTACTCCCAAACTGATTTAGTCAGGGAATTTATTTATTTATTTATTACTGACTTAACATCCTGTAACACTAGTATTCCTCAAAATATACTTTGGAAAATGATGAAAAGGAATTTCAACTAATGTTTCTAAAACATCTATACAGTTGTTTCATGTATTAAGTAGAAAATAAATA